TGGAGCCATTGTAGGTTAAGATGAGATAGGTGCGTAAAGTTGGTGGGGTGCGCCGCTCGCTTGTACGCGCCGCTCGCTTGTAAAACACGTTAGCGGTAAGCACAAACTGTTCAACACCGTGGGTGAAATTGGACGATTGTTAGAACAATGACTACGGCATGCTTTGTTTGAGTATTCACCTGTGTTCAGGAGAAGGACAAACCTTCGGCTCGCATCTCGCTGCCAAAGACCCTATACATAGAACACAAGGCCATTGTCGTTGTACATGACTATCAAAAACGCAGTACACAATGTCACAACATGCCTAATTGTGCAAACCATCCGAACCTTCTCTCCACACGATCGGATTTTTGCTATACTGCTAACCATGGTGCCCAAAACACGATCAAAAACCGCTCAAACTGGGCCCTCAAGTGCCCCAGCTCCCAAAAAGCCAACTAGGACAGCGAAACCCTCATCCAAACCGTCCAAACCAGACCCATCAAAGACCAAACCCGGGCCCACAAAGGTAACCAAATGCCCCGCCAAAAAGCGCTTCAGAAACGTTCCCCAAGGCGCCGGCGGCACCTTCGCCCTCAGGTTTCCAACCGTGATAGGCACCACAGCCTGCAACACCTGCCTTGGGCTGTACGTTCCGCTGACCACTAATAAATGCTTCGTCGCACACTTTAATATCGAGCCGCAGCCTGACGATGGCGGCGATCGTGAGCAAGAGCTGGACGACTACGAGGTAGGAGCCGCGTGCTATCGCGCGGTGGTGAGTATCACGAAGGAGTTTTTGAATGATGCGCAGTGGAAGGGGTGCTGGGGGCCCCTGACGAAGGATATGCGGAAAGGGTTGCGGATGGTGTGCCCGCATGCAGGGCTCGCAGACACAACGCATGTTGGGGATGCGGTGGCGGAGGGGGTGACGGAGTTTTTTGGGATGACGCAGAGAAGGAGGGGAGAGGGGGAGCTGGTGCCGAGAAGCGTGGAAAATATGCTGGTGAGGTATACGCAGGGGAAGGCGCCCCAGGTTATTTTTCCCAGTGCGGAGGAACTACGGAATGAATGGACAGCGAGAGATGAAGCTGAAAACGGGATTTTCGAGACGGCCGGGCTCTTTGATGATGGAAGGGTCAAGAAAGGGGGTGATGATAGGAATGAGCCTGAGACGGAGGGACCGTTTAAAGCGCGAGGTACCAGGTGAAAATAAATTATTGTCCAAGTCGGTGTCAAACGGGGTTGTCAATGTTGTTGGCGATGGTAGATGGAGATTGCCATCGCAGATGGAGCCGTGGTTATAAAGACTACATAGAACCGGTGACGCAACTCATCGTGCGCCGAGTACATAGATGACAAGCATGAGTATTGGAGGTTCACCGGCGCAGCTATTGAGGAAAGGTCAGCAAATCTTCTAGCAATAGCACACTGCAAATCAACGATAATCCTTCGAGGCTCAGACTTGCCTTTTGTCAGAGATCAGCGATACCGCGGGCTTACAGAGTACATGGAGTGTAGAAGTACAAGCAGTGTCCGGATATCTCCCCCATTTGGCCCAACTACATCTAATCATAGCCACCTCAGATAATGGTAAGATAAATTCGACTTACCAGATTCGCGCTCAGGTTCATCCAACTCCTAGGTCAACACCTGCGTTCCCTTCGTCTTGCCAGTCTCCATTTTAGCGGTTCTTGAGCCAAATTGGATGGCGCGCTTTTTCTCCGCTGCCACACCCTTCATACCAAGATGCCATGCGAGCATCCTCAGTACCCGCTTCCCAGGCTCTAAAAGCGTGCCCGGGTATTCCGAGTCTTTGTCTTGTGGTACGGCGAAGTCGCACTTCGAGGTAACAGGTAGACAAAGTACGAAGGAGATGAACGCCTCATCTAGATAAGGAAAGCGGACTTCTTTTCCTGAGTCGCTGATGACTCGGTCATCGCGCCCAAGGTTGCGCTTTCCGATGCGGTCGAAGTCGAGGCTCAGCTCGCTTAACAAGCCCTCGTACCCTTCGCGAGCAAACGCGACTGCGTGGCGCCCATAACCACCAAAAAGCTCATCGGCGCCGAGGCCAGACAGCAGCACGTGAGCGGGAGTGCTGTATGGTGCGGTCGTGCCCTGCACGTCGCGTACAACGCCAGATCCACGTGACGCGAAGTACAGTGCATAGGAGATGGACAGATCCATCTCGGTGTTGTGTGGATGCATTAGGGCCATAACTTCGGTTCGGTGGGCTAGAGTCTGGCTGTAGGGAACATTGACTTCCACGAAGCGCCAGGTGCGACCGGGGCAGACCCGGATTAGCTCGGCGTGTGATGCTCTACCTGTGATCCGATCCGGACAGAGCTCATACGGCGACTCGTTTGGTTCGAGTTTGTTGTGGACGCGAGGGTTCTCAAAAGCTACATTCAGTAGATCGATGCCTTGTTCGAGAGGGATAAATTCGTGAGCCAATCTTGCTAACAGGGCGCAATCAAGACCTCCCGAGAATAGTATCGCGACTCTGGCTTCGTCTAATGACTGATGTCCACCTTGCGCTAAGTCTCTTGCTTCTCTTACGTGCTGCACTCGCAGCGTAAGCGAGCTGTTGAGAGATGCTTGTAGCTGGTTGACAGTTTGAAGGGTTGGGCGAACACCAAAGCCTGAAGTAGGTATTGTGTGGTTCATTCGAGGAAACGGAACATTCTGAGAGCCTTAGCACAAACTTGGCCAGAAGGGACTTACCTACAAAGTGAAGCTGGCCGACGTGAGTGCACTGACGACAGTGAGGTATATGCGAAGTGGGAAGTGGACCTTCAGCTGGCAGTTGCGAGAGGTCAACGACGCGTATGCCATCAGCTTCTACCTCGACCCAGTCCTCGCCTGTGGAATTGTCGCAGACGCTAGAGATGATCAATTCGTCGCCCGAGCTATGTTTTTTGAGGAGTGAGCGTCGTCCGAGACAGTCGCGGCCATAGTACAAGTACTTGTTTCTCGCATCATAAAACACAAAAGCATACGGTCCTCCAATGGAGAACAGCGTCCTGATAGTCTGATCCTGCGCAAGCCCTCTTTCTCCGCTAGTGCTTGCTGTGCATGCCTGAAGGAGGTTCTGGAAGACGAGCTGCGAGTCGCTGCCGGTAACAGGCTGGCCCGCATACTTCCAAGCCTCGCCATTCCAGCAGAGTGCCGAGCCCGATGCCTCGTCAATCAGAGGTTGTTCGGCGACAGCAGTGCCTCTCAGCGAGAGCACTGTCGAGACGAAGGTAGCTTCATAGTGGACGTCGTCATCAGCGTGCACGCGCACCTGATGGGTGCCGAAGCTGTCCGGGCCGCGGTTGCTTAGCAGGCGAGCAGTGCCCGTGTCTGGCGAGACACAACGGGCGCGGCAAAGCGAGAAGAAGATGCCGCACATGACCGGGGAAGGAATTGGCGATGCAGGGCTTGGTGTTGAGGCTGTCGAGTGGCGGCCCTAGCGCTAGTGGGGGCGGGTGGCGGAGGTTCCAAACGCCGACGGACGCCAGCACGCGGCAGCTCATGTGCTGAGTGACAGCGCAGCATCCCCAGCCAGACACTCAGCAAGAAGCCCTTTGGCCGAGCGCACATCCTTTCGCAGCCTTATCACAAGTCCATGGACGGCTCATAAACCCGCACCGCCGTCCCCGCTCACGCAGCCGACCGCCGGTTCATGTCTTCCACCGACCAAGCGCCGCACCTCGATGAAGCTCACGAAAGCGCCCGCGAGCAGAAGCTAGGAGAGAGTCCGGCGCAGGAGGCGAAAGAGACTTCTTTTCTGGCAAAGACAGAGAAAGAAGCGCCTAATGCGCCCACGAGCGAGGAACCAGTGAAGGAGGGAGAAAGCAACGATGCGGGGCAGGCACCAGCATCAGCACCAAATGCGGGGGTCGTAGGAGAGCCCGACAGGGAGAGAGGGAAGGAGCAGACTGAGGAGGCGAGACCGGATACAGAGCCTGCGAACGTGTCTACCGGTGTCGCTGAGGGCGATGCAAAACCGCAGTCAGGCGCCCCGGAAGAGGCGCCCTCCAGCGACAAGCCAGACGAGGCCCCGCGAGCCCCTACACCTCCCCCTGGATCAGAGAAGGCTGCTGGGAAAGCACCTGTTCGCTCGCCGTCGCCGCCTCCGCCCCCACCGAAAGACGACAAATACCTGTCTACGAGCAATGTACCCAGCCGTACCACGTCGCCCATATCGCAACCGAACCTCAGCAGGAGAACTTCGGAAGATGCAGATGCCGCCGCATATGCTGCAAAGCATGATGGTGCCGAGGACGCTGTCGACGACTCGCAGTCCGAGATCCAAAGCATCATGGATCAGTTCGCCGAAGGACACGGGGGACCTGGCGAAGAAGAGATCATGTCGCCACGCTTGGAAATAGCTCAGCCCATGTTCGATGCACCCATAGCGCACCCTCCGCGGCATTCAAGCTTGGCCTCCAACGAAAAGCCTCTGCCTATTCCAAACGACAGCCCGTCCCCTGAGCAGGCTCTGAGATCTCCTCCCCTGCGCACGTCTTCTCTATATCGCGTTGGGACCAACACCTCTCTTAATGAAGTTTCTTCGCCCAGTGCCCATGCGGCATCGTTCCAAGCACCCGCGCCTCCGCCTGATCCTGAGCCAGACCTACCCTTTGACTTTCATCGATTCCTCGAGCAGCTGCGACACCGGACCGCTGACCCAGTCGCAAAGTTTTTGCGATCCTTTCTGCTCGAGTTTGCCAAGAAACAATGGATGGTGCATGAGCAAGTGAAGATCATTGGCGACTTTTTGGAGTTCATTAGCAAGAAGATGGCACAGTGTGAGGTATGGCGCACTGTGTCTGACGCCGAGTTCGACAACGCACGAGAAGGCATGGAAAAGCTTGTCATGAACAGGCTCTACTCACAGACGTTCTCTCCTGCGATCCCGCCGCCCGAACCCGTGAACCCTTCTAGGAGTCGAAGGAGACAGGAACCACCAGGTCCCGGCAGGAGAGGACAGCACCAGGAAGACGTCGAACGCGATCAAGTCCTCGCCCAGAAAGTCCGAATATACGGCTGGGTAAGTGAAGAGCATCTTGACATACAGCCCGTCGGCGACAAGGGCAAGAAATTCCTGCATCTTGCGCAGCAAGAACTGCTGAAGATCAAGAGCTATCGAGCACCAAGAGACAAGGTCATTTGCATCCTCAACTGCTGCAAGGTGATATTCGGCTACTTACGAACGGCCACCAAAGCAGACCAATCTGCCGACGCATTCGTGCCACTGCTTATTTATACAGTGTTACATGCGAACCCGGACCATCTAGTGTCCAATTTGCAGTATATTCTTCGCTTCAGAAACCAAGATAAACTGGGCGGAGAAGCCGGGTACTATATATCATCCCTGATGGGAGCCATACAGTTCATCGAAGGCCTCGATAAAACGTCGCTTACGGTAACGGACGAAGAGTTTGAGAAGAACGTTGAAGCTGCTGTATCTGCCATCGCGGAGCGACACAACGCAGAGACCGCCACGCCTGACCCTACCGAGAACCCTCCGCACATGCGTCCACCCACAACTCCTGGCCACCGGCGGATGCCCTCGCCGCACTCCTTACATCTGTCAGAGAAATCGACGCCATCTCGACCCGAAGTCACAACGCGGAATTCACTAGACGCAGAGCAGGCTGGACCTCGACGCTCAACAAGCACCCGCACAAGCAAGAACGAGAGCGACCCACCCGAAGAGGAAAATGCGGCCGTCGCAGGGCTTCTCCGCACAATACAACGTCCACTGAGTACTATTGGCCGCATATTTTCCGATAACGATACCACGACGTCTTCATCAGGACCTGCTTCCACTCCCCAGCCAGGGAATACGCCGCGATTGACGCCACAGCCTCCCCGAGGCTCCGCAGACCACCCCGCCAACGTTCCGCCAGAGCACTTCAACGAGAAGCAACGGCGGTCCGCAGAGGAAGAACAGTATCGGCAACGACTCTCTGCTGAAGACGCCGCTGCAAGACAAGCGTCTGCCGAGGCAGAAGAAGCAAGGAGGATACAACGGCAGGAACATAGTGTCGTGGTCGAGACGCTTGCTGGCATGTTCCCGCAGCTGGACCGAGACGTCATCGACGACGTCGTGCGGATGAAGGAGGGACGGTATGTTGCACCCATTTGAGTCCTCAGACCAGTACTAACGAAAGCAGGGTCGGCTTGGCCGTGGATGCGTGCCTGGCCCTTGCAAATCCGTAGAACGGTATATCGGCCGTGTTTCTTCATCAAGAGGGGTCTTGCATGCAGCGTTACTGTGTAGTGAGTTATGTTTGGAAGCGGTCCATAACGTGTTTTACAAGCGAGCGGCGCGTACAAGCGAGCGGCGCACCCCACCAACTTTGCGCACCTCTGCAGATGTATATCTTAACAACCGTGTAG